AAAAAATGTCACTCCAAATTTTGACAAACTCTTAAAAAAGGCCTATTTTGCATTCAATAAAACATACAAAGAAGAAAATAGAGTAAGCTTAGATTAACCTAAAATAATGCATAATTAACAATGCCACGAATTGACTTGCCTGAATTTTACACTTCCATTTGTTATGATTCTTCCATTTTCTCTTCTACTTCCATTTCTTACTCTCAACACTTTTAATGGTAAGATCATTTTAATGTTAAACTTCATTTCCTATTTTATTCGTTTATAGCAGTACTTGACGTGCAATAACTGTATTTGACGTGTAATGGACATGAGATGACTGTACTTGACGTGTAATGGGCATGAGATGACTGTATTTGACGTATAATGGACGTGAGATGAAACAATGATGATTACCATCAATTTTTACTTTTAATTATCAAACTTTTCCATTCACTAATTATTTTACGCCTTATCCATCTTCTTTAAAGATTAATTAATTTCTGTCAATAAAAATACTATCATACTGCATTATTCATATCACAAGTATTTCAACTTGTTAATTTTATGATTTATGAATGATCCATTTTATTCATTTTAATTTGAATTAACGATAATTTTTATTAGCTGCTAGCATGATAAAGCAAAACATTATTCCTATTTTTATTTTAGGTAATCAGGCTGAATTATGCATTCAGACGTATCCTAATTTACAAATTACGTGTGCTACTGCGTACGAGCAACGTCTTCTACTAAACGAGCAGGAATGTCGTGATTTGTGCTTGAAAATGTTAGCCCAAACATGTCAAGTACAACAGAATAAGGTAATGTTAAAAATCCAGAACTTTTATTTTCCATGAAATGAAAGAAATATCAAATGTTGTGATGAATCGTTGAAGTTCATCTGACATCAGCAATTATTTCATGTTTTCTAACTTTCAAATTGATCATGAAAGATTCTAAATGATTCAGAATCCAATGAATATATCTATGAATCTTATGCAAGCATTAGATTCGACCATTTGAAGTTTCGTCCAGTTAATGAATGAATTAAAAGATAATTAATATTATGAGACAATTATTTTTAATGAAAATTCTGACAACATTTCTAAGTCATAATGTATAGCTTCTATAATTTACAATTTAAATACCTGAAAATTCTAATGATCCATCTTGATGAATTGTTTGTTAATTTCAGGGCAGAATGTCAACTGTATGATATTGTGGTTGCCTTACAACGAAAACATTCATGGCAAAAAGGTAAAATTTCAATTTTTCACTTCCTAAAAACTTATCGACGTATGATGATACATCTGGAATCAATAATTTCCGAGAAGATGTTCAGTTTAATTATAGCCTTTCGATATTACTACTACCATCTTTATCAAGATTGTTTCCTGATCTTTTATTATCATATCTTTTGCTAATCAATACTGCACTTTGGCTTATATATGCTGTGAATAGTTCATATATTATGCATTTTTAGAAAATCACATTACAAGTATGGAAATTGGGATCATAGGTGAAAGCGATGATTTTGCGTTAGTTCATTTCCGTTAACTTCATAATAAGTTATATTAATCTTTCAATCTTTTCTTCCCATCAATATGAATTATCAATTGTCACATTGTTCTTGTCATCACGATGAATTGTTACGTTGATAAAATACCATTATCAGAAAGTACACTTATGATCAAATGACTAATTGTGTATTTTTTTACTTAATTAAAAACAAAAATTAGACTGTATTTCAGGACGAAATCATGTGTACCATCCATAGTACCAGCTATTGGTTTCCTCTTGCTCCTAAATGATGACTGTAATGTTGGACTATCGGGTCACCAAAATGTAAATGTTACTTCCAAGCAATCGACATTTATCACTCCGATTGACACCAGTATTACCAATGAGCAAAGAAAATTCCTAGTACCAGATGACAAGTTACAAATTCAGAAGATAGAAACAAATGCGACAATTGGTACAACCAAGTTAGATGCATCACCATCCTATTACTATTCTTCCATAAGTGATCTGCAGCATGAATTTCGAACTACTACTAATGTAACCAATACAATAGGCATGTTTACTGTTCGTTTTTTTTGATAAATTTCACTAAATGCTTCCAGAAATAGTTTATAATCTCGAGATAAAGATGATAAGAAAGTGGACTTTTTCCATTTGTCCAATATCTTTTATTATGAAAAAGAGGGAGAATAGCAACAGCTTTAATTGTCATCATTGCCATTATAATGATGACATCATTATAATGGCAATGATGACAATTAAATTGAAAAATAAGATTTGAGAAGGATTCTATCTGTATTCTTTGCAAACGCTACAAATATAGGTGTGTCCTTCCAACCTGCACAATGAATTTTTTAGGAACTGACCTCAAAATCAGAACAGGTCAGGACAGGTTTCTCTGCCAGTTTCTAGCAATAAAATTGTTAGGGTATAAGTTTTGTTAAACCATCATCCACGTCAATAGATAGATTACCTTGCAGAATTAAGCGAGCTCTATCTATCTGGGTCTGGAGCTAGAATTGTCCTTCTTTCTCCTAAGATATTTACGAGGCTAGCGAGCCTATCGTATCCGTGGATACACTTTGTCTGACCCTTCATTTGTGACATATTTGGCATGAAAGATCCAATCGAAGAGAAATAGCAGTTTTAATTATAATAATATATTATCAGCCTGATTATAGCATTAAATGATTTTAAATTTATATTCAATTTTAAAAGTAAACATCAAATACAACCTTCCAGATTGCAAATCCGGTTTTTCGATTTATATTGAAGTGATCGATGGTATTGAAGTGATTGCTGAGGGTTTAGCAACATTTCAGACACGTACGCTTGAAATGTGTTTATATATATGTACGGAAAATAAGGTTGCACCGAAAAATCTACTTTTTTTTTCTTTCATTTTGAAGATGTCAATTTTCCGCATTTGTCATCATATGGGCCAACTCTGTGACTCGAAAGTCACACATATCCATAAAATTCTGTCAACGGAAATAGTGATGATCTTGGTGATTTTTAAGAAATTTCTCACTTCAATTTGATTTTTTCAGCTGAATGATAGAAATTTTTCACCGATCGGATGTCATAGTGCCCAATACAACCGGATCAGTAAACGTTGCATTTTATTCAATACATCAATTGCTCCAACTGGAAATGCTAAGTATATTTCAAATAAGGATACGGTATATTTCGAAAAGATTTGCATATCCGGTAACAATTTAACACTCACCTAGTCGCTGTAACGGTTAAATTCATATGATTGAAATTATAATTCTAATTCAAAGCTAATATTTTATATTTGCGAACCTTAAAAGTTTGTTGGGGAAAAAAAAACATTTGTGTATTTCAGGTAATTATCAGATTTTGAATTTATAAAGGAACCATTTTGGACAGTAAAAACAAAAGAAATTTTTTTTTTTATAGATATGGTTCATAATAAATGTAGCATAATTTTACATCGTACACCTCAACATATACTTGTTGGGCATGCAACCGCTGTAATCAATGCTCCATCACATAATTACTGTATTGAAATATGTTTACGGTCTACGGTATGACTTAATAGAGTCATATAGTAGTTTTTGATACAATAACTAAAAGCAATGTATTGAGTAATGATGACCATTTTACTTTTTTTTTTTTTTTAATGATATATTATCAAGCGTTTATCCTTTTTACTTCATTATGTTTCAATAATTTACTACTGATAACGTATACAAACTCTAAATCATTTTATATATCTTAACAGATTTTGAAATATAACAATTGATAAATGATATGAGAGATTAGACGAAAATTAAAAATTAAAATAAAATTTTTAAAATTAATTCGTTGTAATATTCAGATGAAAATTATTGATATATCTACAGGAAATGTTAAATTTCATATGTCGTTCAGCAATATATTTCCATGAATATCAACGATCGAATTGTATCCTCAATAAAGATTCTGCTAAAACACGTCCCAAATATTTCATCAATGAGAAAGAGCAAAAATTGGATTATATTGAAATGGATGAATGTTTAATTCGTGGTATGTTTAATTTTAGCAACAAAGGAAGAGTATTAGTACTACTCATTGTATATCCTTTTAGTGATTAATTAAGATGATATTAATTGATAATTTCAGTATTACTATTATTATTTCTTCCCATTTATCATCTCTAACAAATGTACTGTTTAAAAATAAATCATTTTGCAGATCGGAAATGAAATTTTATGTTCGATTACATCAGCACAACATCTCTCTATCTTTTATTCATCATAGCATTGTTTAAATTGGGGGAGGGGGAAAAAAAAAAACTACATTGAAATTTATTTCTCATATGTCACCCACGGGTGGATTTAGAACAATGTTCATTTATTGTATTGCTAAATTAAACTCATCTCAAAAATATCCTTCAGAACTATGTGAAATATATGTATTTTGTGCCATCACCAATGATGACACCTGTTGGTAAATCGAATTGTCATTCGATTGCATTTGACAAAAAAAAAAAAGATGAACATTTGCATCTAGCAGTTAGGTCAATATATCTGTCTGCTTAAAACGATTACCTATAATTAGAATTCATTGTGATTCCATTTCATGCCTATTATTTCCTCTCACTAATTGAATCAATCGATGGATGTTTTAATTTTCATCAAAATGACATGCAAACTATCTCAATGTCAAATGAATAATCAATACTGCCAATTAAATAAACCAAATTAATTAATACGAATGAAGTGATGCATGAACCAGGTATGGTATAACTTCCCATTCACTGTTACTCCATTTATACCAGTGGTTTTCAACCGATAGTTCGCGGATCACAGATGTCCGCAAGGAAGATGGAACGATGAATAGAAAATAGGTGAGAGGTGATTCTTATTAATATTTGATAAATTAAAACATTAAAAGTTTTGCATAAAGTTTATTTTCAAATCAACAGAATTTATTATTTTTCAACCTTTAGATTCATATCACAACTAAAAAAAAAAAACCAAAAATGATCTTTTAGTCAAGAAAAAATTAGAGGAACGAACCAGTGATCTATACAAACTATCATCGTTTAGATTGCTGATAATCTGTAAATACACTCTCATTCACGGTATCATCCATCAAAGATATCAGTAACAATTGCGCACTCCCACATACGGATTGGATATTGCGTAAAAAAATAATTAGGTTAATTAAAAGTTTTTGCCTTCTATCAGAAACACATAATAAGTTATACATAAGCATACAAACTTCCATCAATTCCCAATCTTTTTGATCTATTTGGTTTCTGAATCTTTCTGATCTATTAGGTTTCTGAATCTTCCTGACTATGCTACTGCGCCAATATAACGGTTACTTTGATGTTTTTCGCCTTCTTTTCGCAGTTTGTGCCCAAAAAAATTGAAATAATTAAGTGTGAAATGAATGATTTTGGAACTTCTAAGCAGTTTAAATCAAATAAACTACCATCGAAGTATTAATTCATACCAATCGATTATTCATATCAATCAATCGATTATTCATTCATTTACAGAATAAAATTATTGATAAGACAGTCTTCACAATGCATGTGATTCATATATTAGAATAATATTCAAATGATAGTTGAATTTCGATAAGATTTGTAGGAATTACATTTTCTCCTGAAAAGTGCCAACGAAGATATGCAAATTTCTTTTTTTTTTTGTAAATCAAAAAAAAATTCAACATAATCATTTGTAAGAAGTGACTGATAGCAAATTGATGGGATATCATGACCCCTGCTTTAAGAAAGGTCATTTCATTGTTCGAATAAAATTGAAATTTAGGATTAGAAATGATGAATGGAGAGATAGCTTTCTCATTCCATCCATTCCTTTCTACCTATTCATTTTCAAAAGCATTGATGAAATTGAAAAATTAATGCGAAAAAAAAAAACCAATGAGTCACATCAGATCACATCACGTCGTGTCACATATTTTCGCTTTCCCAAATAGTGGTGTATACCACAAGGTTCACCGACATATGACATATTGTTAATGGTTGTCTCTTTGTATTTGTCGGTGTATATGTGTGTGTATGTGTGTGTGTGTATGTTATTTATCTGTCTGTCTGTCTTTGTATGTGTACATTTATATTAATCATCGATAAACGTACGGTATTGTATGAAATTGTTATTGGGCGTTATTTGATGATGAAGAATGGCGGCATCGGCACCGATTCGTATTAATTTCGGCTTTTTCGAGGAGAGATCAAATTTGCTGAAAATATTAGAACTCGTAAGTGTTACTGAGATTTACTTTGTGTGATAAGAAGAATGGCGCAAATTGTTCCTTTCCAAGTTATGAAAGTTTGTTGATTAGCTGTAAAGTCATGAATATGTGTGCGACTGTCAACATATAATTGCACTATCTGTCCATACTCATTCTTAAAATGGGTATTTCATTTTGAGGTATTTAAATATTTTGAGCTTTATCAGTCGTTGATTAAGCTAACAAATGACTTCTTCATTAATTGTTGATTTTTTTTTTTTTTGGATGGACTCATTGTTCATTGTTCTTAGTTCACCACCAACTCATTGATAGGAGATAAAGCAATGATAAAATGATAAAGTAAAAATGACTACGAGAAATTTGTAAAAAAAAAATTTACACATTATATCATTAATTTTTGAGTTCCAGTGCTATTTAAATTGATTTATCACTAATTAATGTGATAATATCAACTAACAACCCTCAAGCTATGATTATATCTTTCTCTTATACTTTGTATCAGTTATTTGTCTTAAATAATTTTCAGACTTTTGGACTGGTTTGTACTGGCTTTTCCATTGGTTGCTTCCCGAATAATATTGAACTTAAATGTACACGAAATGTTTATTCCTTCAATCATTTATTTATAATAGTATGTGTAAATGCATTCGTATTTGTCTGTACTACTATCCTAACATTGTGTCATTTATGCAGTATACCGGATGCCTATTACCGGTTTAATTTCCCTATTCTGGTGATTCTTTTTCAATCAATTTTCATAAATAAAGTAGATAGGCCGATTGTAATACACGTTTCTCTCGATAAACTGTTAGTAAATAAATGGATAAATATATTCGCATTGAATAATAATAAGTATGTTAAATTGTACGATTATGCATTGGGTGGTAATTATTCTGGTTACGATAAATCCATAAATCACAAATGAAACATTCCTAACAGAAAGTTTGCTGAATGATCGTATCCATTAATAATTCTATAGATTATAATAATACTAAAATACTAAATATAATGAAATTTCAATGATCGGATTGTCTCAATGTTTCTCGGCATATGTGACCATTTTTGTAGCAATTACTCTTTTAGCCTTTTGCATAAAACAAGGATCATATTTTAGGCGAAATTCTAATTTGGACATTTGCATGATTATTTAGTCTGATTCCATTCATACAATAATTAAACTGCTTGTATAATCAAGCCAAAAAAAAAAAAACATTTTGGTAGAATGATAGATTTATTGATTGTTATGCAAATTTAACGTTTAATATTTAAGATGGTTTAAAACTAAATTCATACTTTTAGGAGAAGTTTTATACATTGCTAACATGTATACTTTATGGGATTGGAATGATAATGCTATTCGTTGCAATCCTATCAACAAAGATCATCTTCCCGTGGGTAATTGAAGTGGTAAGTTCGACAAAAATGCAAATTTTTGTAACGCTAACAAAATTTTCATCATTAAGGAATAAAATAAATAGACAAAAGCATTCAATAAGATGAAGATAAAGTAAGAGTAAGAGTAGCAAGGTAGAAGATAGACGTGATTTTTAAGGAAGTAAGTCAAGTTAAATTATATTAATTGAGAACTAAAATTCGGAAGATATCTCTAACTTAGTAAACAAGTAAACTATAAAACAATCCTAAATATTCCATTAACTTCGTTGATAGGCTAATTAGATGTCGTACTTTAAGTGAAAACATCTTTTTAACAACAGCATCTCATCATCAATTACACTCAAGGTCATTCATCAACATTCGACTTATTTTACTTATTTATCTCACTTTAGTTATTTCATTCTTCACTTAAACCTATCTCTATTGAATAGTTTAATTATAAAAGATAAAATTAAGCTTAAGCAAGAATTAATAAGAGAAATGCTCCAATCTCTTAACTCTGATTAAATTTCTGATGGACTAATTTCCATCTGTCATAATGGAAATTGAAATTTTATTTTTTCGTATTTCGAATATTTTAATGAAAAGTTTGTTTTTGATTCTTAATACTATCCAATTCAAATAGTAACTTCCTACCAGAATTTAGACTAAGTAATTTCAAGGTAATGTTAGAATTTGCAGATATTTACAATTGGAACTTTTCTACTTTACACATGTGATGCATACCAACGATGGATTACTGCCTATGCCTAATGATTCATTCTTTGGTCAGAATCAATTATCCATATTATTGCTAATAGGTTGTTGTTTTTACTGCTTATATTCCTCGATCGTGATAAAGGAATTTCATCTTTGGATACCCATTAAAATTTCAAATAGATCAAGCACAGAATGAAAAAACGGAAAAGGAGACAAAGGAAGTAATGGGATGATAATCACATAGTGCTCTGATATAGTAATTATGGTATGTCATAATTAAAAAAAAAAACTTTAAATTCCTATCATTTAACTTAAGCTGGCAGTAGACGTCCAATCGTTTCCACAATTTGGAATTTTCACGAATTGTTCCCAAGCCTAGGACTTTTGGGAGTTGTTGCTTGGTCTAGTACTTTCGCGAGTCGTTCCCCAACCTAGGGTTCCGCATATTGTTCCCCAACCTAGAGCTTCTGCAAACTGTTCTCAAACCTGTGATTTTGGCGAATTGAGCCTAAGGTTTTTATGAATTGTCCCCAGTTAGGGTTCCTGAATGGTTTGCTAAATAGTTGTGAGCATCATTGGATCAACTTGGCGCGGTTTTTGTATAAGTATATACCTCCCAAAATTCCGACTGTAGAATTTAAATGAACTAACCAAACTGGATGAGGAAGAAATGATAAAACAAACAGATTACAATGCAACTCACAATAAGGAATAGTTCGGCGAATATTCATAATATTGAAACATTCTGTTCAACTTTTCGTGTTTCATTTTTTTTTTCTAATTTTCATTTATCTTTTGTTACACGAAATAAATCTTTCATAATTTTTACAACAGAATAAGAGAGGGATTTGTGAAATAGAAAGGAAAATGATACCACTTTTCTCTGTTAGCTTTGTGTTTTAGAAGTTTTTATTACTTGCAGAAAATTCCATAGTATATGAACCTCAAATGTAATTCCACTTTCAATGTTTGTTTTATTTTGCTGAGCATTAAAAGAAACCTTTCCTTTGTAAAAAAAAATTGCTCGTTTGACAGATTAAAGTCCAAATTATTTTAGTTTAATTCAGCGGCAGGAATGCTACTTACATAAGTCATGGGTGTTTGCAAATAACATTTTAACGTCTGACCTAGAAACAGGACGAAATTGATGATCTCTTTTATTTTTTACAGCAACACCGATCAAACGCAGTAAACAATTAAGCGAAAGTAATGATGACATAGTACTATGGATGAATTGTCCCCCAGTTACGAGATAAAGAACTTGCATCTCAAGCAGGTCTTACACCATTTGGTGAAATGCAAGAACATGCTGTTAAAGTATAGGATAAGGTAAGTAACCACAAAAAGGCTTCTCACCTCCTATCTATTGTTAGTGATAAATCGTCAATAATTACAGGTGTAAATGACCTCACTATTCTTCCGTTTTCTAGTCTATCATTAATGACAAATTATCAGGATTTACAGATAGATTACCAATTCTTTTCCTTTCGAGAAAAGAATGTCAGAATTCTCCCAGCATTTCATCTTTTCAGTCATAGCTTTTTATAAGACGAGTAGTTATAAATGATACATTTTCTTACATAATTCAGACTTTTCACTGTAGAGTTGAAAGATCCTAATTAATGAATTTCATCTCCTGCGGATGCTGATGACATGATTTCCATTTTAAGCGGCATAAAATAAAAATTTATACGGTTTAAAATAGAGATCATGTCATCAGATATGACGGCTTAGTTAGCATCGATGGCATTGAGGATAACGATTGTGCTCAACTATTTGATAAGTTCTAAAATTAAAGCGATAACTGGGGGAGCAGGGAAGTGGAAAGAACAGGACAAGAAACAGGAAGAGAGAAATTGAATCTGTGGAATCAAGTTAATCATCACCTCGAATTCAGTTTATTTGTTATGAATTGTTGTTTGATTAAATTTTCAATCGAACTGTGGAAATGTTTAGGAAAGGTATTGAAATATTGTGATGGAAGTAAAAGGCGGTCGACAATTTAATCAAAAAGAATTAAATGCCAATCGAGCTACTATTCCAAAATTTTAGAATCCACGTAAAACACTAGCAGCTAAAGCAAAGAAAGCTGATGGTGTAAGTATTTTTGTTTTTGATACTAAAGGTTAGGTGAGGAATTGTTAAAGGTAAAAATGAATTGTGCTGTGCTATAATTTCACTCCTGAAGTATAGCAAAAAACGTTGTTTTAGCATGGTTTCAGCTTGGAGAAATGCAATAAACAATCGGTGAGAACTGAAAGAAATCATACCAAGGAATCATACCAAATTATTATACTTTTTTTAGAAGTTAACTTTTAGGAAGTTAACTAAAGTCAGGACTCAGAACTGAAAGTTGGGACTTATTAAGACTCAGCATTTATTTTAATTTGCAAATATATTTTAGATTCGTTCTAATGGAGAAAGGGATTGACGATGATGTCATCTGTATACATTATATGGCCCGGATTTTCCTGGTGAACAAGTCTGATTTGATGTTTTGTTTACTCTCAAATAGCATTGCTTAATATTTATGCAAAAAAGAGGTATTGTTCAAAAATCATACCACTTATCATATTTTTTCTGGAAGTTAACTTTCAGTTAACTCTGCAATTTATAGTCACCTTCAGATGACTTTCAAAGATATTGCGACATCGTCTCTAGATCATACTTTGATCAAGCAATAAGTGAAAGGGAATATACGATCAAGAAAGCAGAAAAGGAAAATATTGAAGTTTTTGTTGCATTTATATTCATTGTTGTATGCTTTATAGTATATTCGTATTTATCACTTCGTTATAGGATAATAAATCAATGAATAACGGAAAATTATAACTTAAATTTCAATTCAAATTGAAAGTATTTAGTTCATTTCACTTTTCATTTCTTTCAATATTATCAGGCGAATCCGATGTGAACATTGGAAGTTAAATGAGAGAAACACTTCGGAACTTAAATTTCAACTAAACAAAAAAATTAGCCGTTGCCACTTGCAAACAGCGTCACAACAAAATGGTGACAATCTGGAATAGAATCAAACTGTTCAACAGAACTAATTTGCTAAAGAACTGATAGACTTTTACTTTATTTTCTATTTTTTTTTGGGAATAACAGCGTTATTTATCGCGAAACTCCTCACTTTTTTGGTCATCGATTTTTTTCTCATGAATCCATAGTAGTTCAAATAAGCAATAATAGCTTTACCGTACGGGTAGATTTTAGCGCCTCATTTTTTTCCCTTAACCATTATTTCCTCCAGAAGGTAATTGCATGTTATTCCTTTCTGCATCTTTCTAGATTGTCATTATTGAGACTTCTCATGAGACTTTTTTTTTTGAAATTTGGTTTTAAATGCTCACAGCTTTAGACTGTTCGGTCTTGCGAGATTTATCAAGTGATTTCTCATATTTGCCGGCCAAGTTTTGTGAAGTCTCACTGCAAGAAATTATTTGATAACTAATGGTAAAATCAATGGTATTTTCGAAATTCGTTGCTCAATCGATAATGATATATTTCTTTTAAGTTTGTTCCGAAATATGGCAACTGTTGTTTGGTTGTCGATAATAAAAGATAGCAATAATTGGTGTGAAATTTCGTCATCCATAAACTACTTTGCGAGTTGTTCCAGAACCTGGGGTCTTCGCGAATCGTCCCTGGCTCACCGCTATTGCGGGCCGTCCTGATCGCTGATTGTTCCCCGACCTGGTGTCCTCGCGAGTCGTTTCCTGACCTGGGGTTCTCGCGAATTGCTCCCCAACCTTAGGCTGTTTTTATCCGTATGCGATGAGGTTTTTGTCAGTCTTAGTTAGTGTTTGATATATTTGGTATTTTTATTACTGTCAGAAATCGCTGATCATGTTACGTACCAAAAAAACTTCATTCAAGTTTAAAATTCCATTTCAAGTGTTGCGCACTAAAAGAATTTCGTCTCAAGTTTTGGATTAGTGTCAATTTTTAAGAAAAGTTTAATTTTTAGGCAAATTTCATGGGAATTCAAGATTTTTGCCAATTTTGGTCAGTGTTTTTCGGATCTGATATATTTACTACTGTCAAAAATCAACTGATCACGTTGCACAGTAGCGAACACACCCAAAAAAAATTTAATCCAAGTGTTGTAAATTTACGAAAATTTTTGAAAAATTCTTAATTTTTAGGCTGTTTTGGTCCATATATGTCATGCTAATCTTCGCAAAATATATTGATTTGCTATCATATCTTTTCACAAAATTATGCAACTTATCACTCAAGCGCAATTGACGGAAGTGAAAGTAATCAAATTGAGTTGACAATATGGCTGCAAAGAAAAGTAAGACGTAGTGAGATCTTCCGTTCTACCGTTAAACTTTTTTTTTTTTTTTCACTGCAAAATGACATTTCTATCCTTCTTTGGTGAAATTTTAAAACTTCAAATTTTGAATTGAAATGACCTGAATTATAAAGCGAAGAAAACGAAGAGAATAGACAGAATTGCTGGAAAGAAGAGAAGAATATTGTATTGATGAGATGTATTCGTCCCGAAGTTATCCCGAACTTAGCAAAGCTCTGTTATCTACTGCGTAACTGCAACACATACTAAATTACGATGATCTTAGTCGGAGGAAAAGTGATTTTAAAATTAAATCGATTGTTATTCAAATTTATGCTACGATATTATTTGATCTCTGAAAATGTTGAATTCTTTGAAAGAATGGCAAAGGCAAATCAGCAGTGTAATATTTTGTATGGAATTTATCGAATTCATTGAAATGTATTGATGTATTGAAATTGTATTTATTTTTATGAATTCATATCATACATGTAATTTAATATTGGAAATGCAAATAGAAAAAAAAAGTAAGTGGATATTCGTTCGATCAAATGTTATATATTCTTGAAAAAGACTCATCTCATTATTTTATGATAGGCAGCACTTTAAATTTGGAACTTTCAAGATTTGCTTCAGATAAATAAATATTGGCTTTACTTATAACTATTTTACAAAACTCTTAAAAAAAACTCCATTTCCAGATCGAAACAATTAGATATTTACGCAACCTTCCGACCTACTCAGTAGTTTTAGTAGTTCATTTGATTCTGCATGAAATAGGGAATTTTACCCTGTTTTCCAACCTTCGAATTGAATGAAAACTTCTTCCTTAGATCCTTCTGGTAATTCATTCAAATCCCTCTCCTAGTTAATTTTAATTCCACGATATTTCTAGTCATCCTTTTATAACACTGAGAAACGACAACGCTATATTTGAAACTCTTTCACTAATCCATTTGGAGTCTTTTTCCTAATTCATTTAGTCCATCATTGCCAGCGTTTGCAAAAATTGACAATTCAATAAGTCTTTATTACGAAATATTTAAGAGAAAATTCATTGATAAGTGCAGATTTCAAGATAGATTTAAATGATATCAAAGAGATCTTCCAGCAGAAAAATAAAGTAGTAGATTTGATGAACATTCCACATTAGCAACAAGCATGACATGCTACAATTCAAAATACTGACGACAGATAATACAGGAAACATCACAAATCACCCAACACTCATAGAGGACTAGGCGATACTGCATCAATTTACAAATAGGAAAAACAGTAGTTTAGGAAAATCAAAGTTAAAAAGTGAAACCGAGAGAAAAGTGGGCGCGAAATTTATCAATCTAAAGTTCAACATCATTAGCATTGATCATATGATCAGTGCCCTGTGTTTTCATAAATCATTCAACCTGTTCCCTCGTCCAATCCAACACTAGAGATAACTATACCATAAGTCAAACAGAATTACCACGCATCCTTTTAACAAAGCCAAACCACCATCAACCAATGAAAATCAAAGAGGAAAATAAAGACGGAAATTTACAACTTAATTGCAAAATATTTTTTTTACAATAAAATTGGAATAGTTCACGTGCTCAGCCAAAGTATGTGTTACATATAACATACACTTCACTCATACCTTATCCTTATCCCACCATCACTAGCTATTACAACCAGTAAATAAGAACAGCAGAGAGAGAATTTCCCTAATATAATTTGAAAACTGAAACACAGGAATAGTCACGTGCGCACTTGAAATCTTCCAGCTTTAGTAATATATTTAACACCTTTGAATGGCTCAAAAACGATGATGATACTACTCCAAAAGGAACTCTTCTAAAACGATAACATTTCAGGTTTTCCTCGGTAACCGCAAGTTCGATATCATTTATCCAGAGGAATCTGGTACAGTTTCTGTCGGATTGATGCAGTTCCAATTGTAAAAACGCTTTCTCGACGTCGGCTATGATTACATTTTCCATCATTCGAAACGGCAATAGTATTCCTACTAAATCTGGA